GTGGTGGACGTGCACACAAGCCACATCACGCGCATCCCTCTGCTGCCCGACAGGGCGCCAGCGCCGGCCCAGCAGAGCTGCGGCATCCACGCCATCGAGCTGAACCCCTCCAAGACCCTACTGGCCACAGGGGGGGAGAACCCCAACAGCCTGGCGGTCTACCAGCTCCCCACGCTTGATCCTATGTTCCTGGGTGACCGCTATGGCCACAAGGACTGGATCTTCACCATTGCCTGGATGAGCGACACCGTGGTTGTGAGCGGCTCCCGCGATGGCACCGTGGCTCTGTGGCGCGTTGACCCCGACATGTGCCAAGGCAGCATCGCCTGGCACAACGACGTGGGGCTCCCCGGCTATGCTCATATCCTCCCAAGGGATATGGAGACCATCCCCAGGGCCAGCTCCAGCCCCAACAACCGCAAGGTGCGGGCCCTGGCTTTCAGTGGCAAGAACCAGGAGCTGGGAGCAGTGTCCCTGGATGGCTACTTCCACCTGTGGAAGGCCCGGAGCACCCTGTGCAGGCTGCTGTCCGTCAGGCTGCCCTACTGCCGAGAGAACGTGTGCCTGACCTACTGCGACGACTTGTCAATGTACGCAGTGGGCTCCCAGGCCCACGTCTCCTTCGTGGATCCGCGCCAGCGCCAGCAGAACCTGCGGCCCCTGTGCTCCAGGGAGGGCGGCACGGGCGTGCGCTCCCTGAGCTTCTACCAGTACATCATCACCATAGGCACCGGCCACGGGTCCCTGCTGTTCTATGACGTCCGTGCCCAGAAGTTCCTGGAGGAGAGATCCTCGGCCAGCCCAGACTCCTCGCCACGGTCTACAGGGAAGAAGCTCAAGCTCACCGCTGGGAGAGGCTGGCTCAACCACAGCGACCTTTGGGTGAACAACTACGCTGGTGTAGAGGAGTTCCCCAATGCGCTCTACACCCACTGCTACAACTGGTCTGAGATGAAGCTCTTCGTGGCTGGCGGCCCGCTGCCTTCAGGCCTCCACGGGAACTACGCGGGCCTCTGGAGCTAAGGATGCCACGTGGGTATCAAAGTGCACAGGTTGACCTTCCTTCCGGTTGTGTCTTGGTGCTTCATGCTGTGTATATGCTTTTAACTGTGTGTGGCTTTTTTCTTCCAGGTGGAGGAACACTACCAGTTTACCAGCTTGCCTGTGTTTAGAATATTCGACAGAGAAAGAGATGGATCGACCCTTCGAGCAATCAGAACTTGGCTTTAAAACTTTTCTGCACCTTACCCAACAGCACCGTCTTTTTACCTTTTCATACAAAGAATCTGTAATTGTGTTCCCTGTTTGAGTGATAAATGCTTTTGCTGTTACGGTGTTGCAATCATGGTCCCCACTATAATTGAGTATTTTTGTTTTACCACTATTTTAATAGTATGGTCAGGTCTTTTACACGTTTCAGGTGTATAAGGTACTTCAGGAAAATGTGTGCTTATAAAGTGTCTTAGGGGCTAATCTGCCCCTTGTTAATTTTATAGCCCTGGTCCACTTAAAAAGTCCATTTCAAGTTGGCGATTGCCAACATTTGGGACTTGTTTCCTTTGGGCGTTGGGAATTCTGTTTGTTGTTTGTATATCGTTGGTATATAAAGTGCTTTCAAATACATCCTCTTAGTTAAATGGATAACTTATAGTCTTGTTCATTTACAACTTTGATTATTCAATAAAAATTTAGAATCATGACCCCTAGGCCCTCAGCCTTTGTGTTTGTATTATGGTCCGCTTTCCTGGGTTGTGTTTATACTACAGATTTTCATAGTTAATCACAACTGTTCTATATGTGCCAGGGCAGTCAGGGAAATAATTTGGGGACTAGACATGTCTTCTGAGTTCAGGTAACACCATCTGGGCAGCCATTTACAGTAAAGAGCAGCCTTTGTGCTCAGTGTAGGTGGTGGTGATGACTTTTTATTGTACACATGGATAATTTTCCTATCTAGATGGAGTATGTGGTGCATTGCAGAAAAATTTAAAATGTTCAGCATCTTAGCAAGTAAGTGTGCAATACTAAAGTTTTTGAATGTATGTTTTTTTTTTCCTTAGTTGTCCATTCAGGCACGTATTTCTCGAGATCAAAATTTCCAGAAGAGAAGGTAGAGATGAAGCATAAGTTACACCTATATATGGCTTTGTACATTTCTTTTGGAAAAGCAAATTTATGCTACTGTTTTGCATTAAAGCACAAATAAGCTTTTGAATACCTCAGCTAAATATAGTTGGTGTAGGTTAGGATGGTTAGTTTTGCTTTAAGATGATGTAACAGACCATTTTTTTCATTTACAAAAATGTTCATGTTTAAATTTACCTACTATATTTGTGTATGTTTTTGTATCTTATTTCCCGTGAGGAAAAGGTATTGATGTATACCATTTGACATATGCAAGTATTTCTAATATTTTTGACTGTGTCTACCAAGACTGACTAGTTGGTCTTTATTTTTGTTTCGTTTTATTCTAATTTAAAATAGGCAATGCGTGCACATAATCACACAACTCACAGCCTCTGGAAGGTGAACAGTGCAAAGTAAGGCTTACTCCCCAACATCCCTGGTCTCCTGCTCATAGATCCAACCGGTACAGGCTGTCTATGGCGTATATGTAATTTTTATGAAAATGGTAACATGCTGCACGTATCTGTGCTTTTTTTTTTTTTTTTTT